GGGCTGGCCGAGTGGCACGATGGTTAAGAACTGGCTTGGGACGCCAGAGGGCCCCGGTTCGGATCCCACATATGAGGGCCAGTGACACTGCCCTCCACAGCTAAGATGCTGAACAACAGCTCAACCTGGAGCTGGGCTGCTGTGAGTCGCCGGCGACAGCGTAGGCTGCAGCCCCTGTGGCAGTGGGTTGACATGGGCTACTGTGTGTAGCCAGCAGCCAGCGTGAGCGGCCGTCCAGAAGCTGGCGACTGATCTGCCTCACCCGGGAAGAGCGCAATGATGGTGCCAACTTGGGCCAGTGAAGCAACGTCCTCCACAACTAGACTGAAGAACAAAAAAACAGCAACTTGTCTGTTCTCCTTCCCCCAATTCCCCAGCGCTGTTCCCATCCCCAAATTCCCCAATAAAAAAAAAATCTTTAAAAAAAAAAAAAAAAGAAAGAGCTAGCCATGGAAAGATCTGAGGAAGAATATTCTAGACTGAGGAAACAGCAAGTGCAAAGTCCCTAAGGCAGGAACAAGCTTGGTATATTCTTCAGTCAGAAAGGAAGCGTGTGGCTGGGGTAGAGTGAATGGAGAGAGTGTCATGAAAGGTCCGAGAAGCAGCAAAGGGCCAGATTACGGAAAGCCTCGTACGAAGGCCCTGATAATAAAGGATTCAGGCTGAATTCTATGATGGAAGCCAGTGGAGGTTATCAAGCTGCGGAATGACATGATCTGGTTTTGATTTTAAAAGGCAGGGGTGCGTGAAGAAAGGCAACAGCAGGGGAAGCAGTGAGTTGGCTTTTACAGAAGACTGGGACTCACAGCCCACCATCGATAAAAGCCCCATGTGCTCAGCCTCTTCTCCAGTTCTTCCTTTTACCTTCTTGTTCTACTGAGCCACGCTCCCCCGGAGCACACAGCTTCCCCATGACCTGCTCAACGGCTGCCTGCTTCCTCTCCCTCACCATCAATGTCTTGCTTGTGTCTTACTTCCTCCTCTAGACGATTCTTCTTCCCTTCTGTCCAAGCTTTCCCCAGCTCCCACCTCGGCTTTGAAGCTCATCCCCAAAGTCCTTGTTGTAACCATCTGCTAACCACCCCCACTTATAGGCCAGTTCCTTTATTTTCTTGACTATCTAGCTCCTCGTTTTCTGCAACATTGTTGCCATATCATTCTTGGTGACTGCAATTTCCACACAGGTGAGTGATCCATCTAAAGCTCTGACACCTCAGTTCCTTGACCTCTGTCTGCCAATAATCTTGTCCTCCATCTTACTTCAGCTCCATAATCATACCCTAGACCTTGTCATTACCAATAAGTCCACCCCCTCCATGACCTTAATTTCAAGCTCCCCACAGTCCAACCACTACCCCTTTTCCAGTTCCCTGGCTCCAACAAGTCTTAAAACCAACTGTACCCTCCAGTGCACAGATCTTGCCACCTTTCTGCATTCCTCATTCTGTTCGTGTCCTCAGTTCCCTTCTTTTTTTTTTTTTTTAAGATTTTATTGGGGAATTGGGGGAGGAGAACAGCACTGGGGAATCAGGGAAGGGGAACAGATAACTTGCTGTCCTTTTGTTCTTCTGTCTAGTTGTGGAGGATGTCGCTTCACTGGCCCATGTTGGTATTATCATTGCACTTTTCTCAGGGAAGGCAGTCACTCAGCAGCCATTGGACAGTTGCTCACAGCAGCTCACGGCAGCTCACGTGGGCTGCCGGCCGCTCCCGCTGGCTGCCAGCCACTCACGTAGCTCATGGCAGCCCACTGCAGCAGGGGCTGCAGCCTACGCTGTCACCGACAACTCACAGCAGCCCAGCTCCAGGTTGAGCTGTTGTTCACCATCTTAGCTGTAGAGAGCACAGCGTCACTGGCCCTCATGTGGGATTCGAACCGGGGCCCTGCTGCTTAGAGCTGGCGTCCCAAGCCAACTCTTAACCAACGCACCACTTGGCCAGCCCCTCACTTCCCTTCTTAGAGTTCACTTATAGCTTAGAGCCCAGATTCTACTATTCTAAGTGTGAATATCCATATCAATATCGTTGTCCATCCACTGCATGCACCCTTGGCATCCAGGCCCCACTGTCCCCTCTTGATGTATTTCTGGGCAAAGCCTCAACTCTGGATGAATCTCTTGCCTTCTCCATGGCATCACCAATGGAGCTGAGCATGGCTTGTGATAGCAAAACTATGCTTACTGTTTTCATGTAAGCAAGACTACCAACCTCAGGTGGGCCCTACTGCTTCCCGACAATCCTTCTCTATTTCCCATCTCTGTTTTCTCTTCCACTCTATTTCACATCTTCTCTCTCTTCTCCCTTCAAACCCCCAGGGCTCCCTCCCCCACCGCCCCTCACTCTCACTTCTCTTAAGTCACTGAAAATGATGTAAGCAATATGAAAAGACACTGAACATGCTTCCACCACCCACTTGCTCCTGGGCCTATATTCTTCAACTTGCCTCCCATGACCAAAAGGAACTGTCCACGCTCCTGTCTGAGGCTGGCTCCCCACTGGGGCAATAGGTCATATCTTCTTTCCTCTGCTGAAAGACAACGCTCCACAACTCTCTCCTCTCTCTCCTGCACCATCAGTCTCTCCCTCTCTACGGGAACTTTCCCAATAGCCCCCAAATGCACTGTTATTTCATGCATCTTAAAAACAAAACTGGGGCCGGCTGAGTGGCGTATTGGTTAAGACTAGCTTGGGATGCCAGAGGGCCCCGGTTCGGATCCCACATATGAGGGTCAGTGACACTGCCCTCTACAGCTAAGATGCTGAACAACAGCTCAACCTGGAGCTGGGATGCCATGTGTTGCCGTGGACGGCGTAGGCTGCAGCCCCTGCTGTAGTGGGTTGCCATGGGCTACCGTGTGTAGCCAGCAGCCAGCGTGAGCGGCCAGCAGCCGCTGTGAGCAGCCTTCCAGAAGCCAGCAACTGATCTGCCTCGCCCGGGAAGAGTGCAATGATGGTGCCAACTTGGGCCAGTGAAGTAACGTCCTCCACAACTAGACTGAAGAACAAAAGGACAGCAACTTGTCTGTTCCCCTTCCCCCAATTCCCCAGCACTGTTTCCATTCCCCAATTCCCCAATAAAAATCTTAAAAAAAAAACAAAAAACAAGACTGGACCCCACTTTCTCTTCTGGGGTCTGCTCCATTTTTCTGCTCCCTTTCTCAGCAAAGCTACTCTAAAGAGTTGTCTCTGCTCTATCGTCTTATTTTTTCTTGCAGCTGTAGCACCACTTCCCGGCTGCCCTTGTCAAAGTCACTGATCATCACCTGCTAAGTCCAGTGGATCAATTATCTTCTTCTCTTACCTGACCCCTCAGCATGGCCTGGCACAGCGAACTACTCCCTCTTCCTTTCTTCCCTTGGCTCCCCGGAGACCACTTTCTCAGTTATTTTTCTCCCCTTTCCAGCTGTTCCCTCTCCATTTCTGTTCCCTCTTCATTTCCCTCGATCCCTAAACATTGCCCCACTTCAATGCTCAGTTCTCCACTGCTTCTCCCCTCAGTCTGTACTCCCTTCCTCAACTAGTCTTAGGATTCCTTGTGCTCCACCGAAACCCTACTGATGCGCAAATTCCCATCAGCAGCCTGGACCTCTCCTGTGAGCTCCAGACCTATGTTTGCCACTATCGTGGCCACCAGCTATGTATGGCCCTTTATTTACCACCATTTAAACACCATTGTCGCCATCACTACCATCACCACCACTGTCACTGAGTTAACCCCTGCATGTATTGTAGCTTAGAAACACAGACAAGGAACCCAAATAAATGGAATGAATCGGAAAGATTTTGGCAAAACTGCTTAGCGGGTGTGCGATGATGAAATGCTGTTCATGATCAGTTAATTTCTTAAACTCTAGTCTTGGGCAAGCAACAAGAAGAAATCCCAATTACAATTATTCATGAGAATGTTCCTGGCCCCGCATCTTTTGTCTGCCAGTGATTCTGACGGAAACAGCCCGGTAAGAAAACGCAGTGAAAGACATGGGCAATTATGCGTCTTGGTGCATCTCAGCTTTTGACTTCTTCCATTGACTCTTAATTAATTCCATCCCCATATTTTCCATTTGTTTCCTGAACCTCTTGCTTACATTGTATTTTCCTCCCCTCCCCTCCCTTCATTGCTCTTGGCTTCCTCCCCCAGAAGCTCCCCAATTCTCTTCCCAGTCCTCCTTTCTTTCCCCAGACTGCCCCTTGTTCAGCCTTTAGCTTCTCTGTACCTGTTCTACTCTTTCTTATCCTTTTTTACCTTTAAAAACTGAAAGCACCAAACTGACAGACACTGTTATGGTTTTGTTTTGGTTTTTTGTTTTTTTTTTCCCCCTGCCTGAGCTGCAGCTCAGGCTGTCTCCTCCTTGCTTCTATAGCAAGAGCCCCAGTACTGGGTTGCCATGGCAACAGCAAATCCATCCAGGCCGTCCCAGTGATGCTAGGAGCTGCCATGGCAAAGAAGCCGCTCTGGGTCGCCCCTGAGCCTAGATGGGTCCTGAGCATCATAATTCAAGACCAGGCTGGGCAGGTGCTGCCCGGAGCCTGAGGTCGCACATCAGGCCCACAGCTGTACGGTGCATTTGGAGACAACATCGTCAGTAATGAGGCTCCCACTGAGCCAATCGAATACATGACATTATGAGGATTCGTTTGAAATTTTTTAAACATCCCTATTATATTATCTCCCCTGAGGGAGAACCTTTCGCCTCTCTCTCGAGTCTGGAAAACTCTGTACACAGTAAAAGCAGACTGACAGCTCTAGCCTATCCTCCTATATGTCACATACCTGCCCCCACCCTTCCCCGGAGTGGTCCAAGCCAAATGACTTAGAAGCACTGACATGGGTGGGAGCATCTCCGAGAGTTCATTAGGGTTTCACAGTGATATTTTAGTCAGCGAAGAGACCAGCTCTCCCAGGTCACCGGGATGAATTGTTACAGTGGGGCAACAAGTGTTCTGCTACATCACACACTTTTTCAAAACTGTGAGTTGGTGAGAAAGAATTCAGGAAATACCTTTGGAGCGAATGGCACCAGCCGCAGTGAGGGTCTGCTGCTGCTAAGCATGCCACACAGGATTTACGCTTATTGCAGTTCGCAACACGAATTCTCCTCACCTAAAAATAAAGATGGCAGCAGTTCAGATGGAATTATAAGCAACACCGGAAAAACAACCACACCTTACCTGATGAAGGGCCACAGAGAGACATTTATCGACTCAAACTCTGAATGTCTCCACAATGACTCCGGGGGGCAGGGGTTCTCAAGTCCCAAGGGAGGAAGCAGTTTATCAGAATAACCTAAGGAGGAGCTTGTGAACATACAGATCCCCAGGCCCCTGAGACTCTAGCTGAGTAGGTCTAGTACAGGGCCTAGGAATCTGTATTTTTAAGCACTCTTTCAGGTGAGTCTGATATGCAGTCAGGTTTCTGATCTGCTAAGAATGACTTCGAAAGGGATCGTGGAATGAGGTCACCTGGTTCTCATACAGAGATAGTCAACGGTACTTTGGAAGTGAACATCTGGACATAGCACAAGGCTCTGACCCAGGAGTGTCAGCATGAGGTTGTCACTGGATTGGAGGTGAGGCGAGCCCTCTCAGGGGCAGCTCCATCACCTCAGCTCCTGGCTCAATTGCTCACATCCCCTCACCGGAGTTGAAAATTAAAGAAACAGGGGGAGTTTTCAAGTTATTTCCTGTTCCTGGAGCTGCCTCTTCCAGTTGTCAGGAATAGCAGCCCACAGAGCAAGCACCCGTGCTGGGCAGACCCAGGCGGCTGAGGCCGTCAGTCGGAGCCTTGAAGCAGGGAAGTGGGGAGCAGGGAGGACCTGAGTGTCACATGGCACATTTTCTGCAGGCAAAATCCCACAGCAGGTAGTAAATAAACTTGGGGAACTCATTAAGCCAGGAAGTGGTACATGCTAGGAAGCATAAGTAACTTCTTAAAAAGGTTAGAGAAATGGAGTGTTCTAGAAGCGGTTTGTAAGGAAAACAGGCTAGCCTGAGGAGTATCCTTCGACTCTAAGTTGACTTCATGGAGAATAACCTTCACGGTCTTCCATGCTGATGACAGACATGATAGGCAGACCACCGGGCTGAGTTAGAATTAACCAGAATGTGGGTGTTTCCTTGTAGCTCACAAAACATCTTTGTAATTCTGGAGGGTTTTCATAAATGTCACACAGTCTCTCTAACCTTCTTTTCTCGTCTGTGAAATAGAGATGGTGCTGCTAACTTCACGGAGTTGTGACAAACATTGTGTGGCACATACTAAATGCTGAATAAATGTTGGCTATTGCTATTGTGTGAGAAAAAGCTTCCGTGATCCAACAAACATGTGAAACCTTACACTAAAAAAAGCGAAATAGGTTTCTGAGAGCCTTTGAACATGCCAAGTGTCGTGATACTCCAGGAGGAGGATAGCAAGGAACATCTGCTCCAAGGAGCACTTGTGCTCAGAACATTTAGTGAAGTATGAATTGCTAGAATATTCTATGAGAATTACCATACAATATACTTAAACACACAAACACAGAACTCTGTTTAAGAGAGGACACTATAAATACTCCATTGGAGCTCCTTCTTTAACTTAACAACACACTATAGTGACTAGTCCACAGCAATACATATATCTCCCTGTGGTTATTTTTAATGGCCACATATTATATCATTCTATAGATGTACCAGAGTATGTTAGTTTGGCTGTGACTATCTGCCCAAGAGTCTAGGAAAGGACCCTCCTTAGGTTTGCCTCTCTTGGGTTATGTTGGCTCAACCAGAGTCTTACTAATAGGATCTCTTGCAGTGAACCTAAGAAAAGAATGCAAGAGTAACCGGCTTTGATGCCCAGTTGAAAACTCTCCTCAGGGCTTCAGGCTTTGAATGACCAGAGACTCTTTACTGTCAGAAAATGAGGACCTGTTAAAACTGTTGGGGGTTCTCACAGTGGTTCCCATCCAACAGTCTTGGGTTCCAGGGAAGGCATTCATGAGGATTTATGAGCTATTTGCAATGTTTCAAAAAGCTGAATGGAAAAAACAGGCACAGATTAAGCAAGGCTTCAAGTGTCTTTGCTTTACGCTGGAATTTTATCAGCTCTATGTGGCAGCACAGTCAGTTCTCTGACTGGCAGTTCTGAAATGCCCTTGATAAATAAAGCCTGAGAATGGGAAGTGTTACTTAATATATGCAGGTTGTTGAGTAGACAAAAATGTTTCAATTGTGGGAACCATAGGGAAGAAATATAATAAAAAAGTGTTTGAATGGTGAGACAAGCTGGTTCAGAAGATCCTCTAGGGCAGCAGTTCTCAACCTGTGGGTCGCGACCCCTTTGGGGGGTGGAACGACCCTTTCACAGGGGTCGCCTAAGACCATCGGAAAACAAAAAGATATTTACATTACGATTCATAACAGTAGCAAAATTACAGTTATAGAGTA